AAAAAAAAAAAAAAAAAAGAAGAGGGTTAAGATGAAGACCATGTACCCAGGTAAAGTCCACACTGCAGGAGACCCATGGAGCCCCTTCTCGGGAAGATCTCAGTCCCCAAGGTTTGTATTTTCCCTTTTCTTTCTGGAAGATTGGCTTCCTTTTCTCAGATGCCCCCTGGATTCCTGTTCTTTTTCCTTCCCTCTTGGATTTAGAAAGTTAGGAAACAAACCCCAAAACAAGTACTTTTGAAAAGAGGCCTAGGTGCGGTGTGGAAGTTAACAAGGGCTGGAAAATCTTGGAAAGTTCTTAACAGTCTCCTCTGGGCCACAGTTTCGGAAGAGGATTCTTTGCTGCTATCTCAAACCCTGTGCTTGTGGCTCTCTTTCCATTCCTGAAGGTACTGCTCCAGAAACTACCCACTTTCTTTTGTCCCCACCCTTCTTTCTTTGGACAAGGCCAGCTTTCCAAGCTTTAACACTTAGGCCTAAAGAGACAGCAGGAGGTAAGAATTAATGGATCTAGCTAGTAGCCAGGACCTAGGAAGTCATTCAAATATCTAAGGGCCTCCTAAATAATGCCTGACTCTGAGCCCAACCCCCACTTCCTCAGGTCTCCCAGTGAAAGGCTTTTGCAGGGTTTCCAAATTGAGGCTCAGAAAAGGGGAGGTGGTCTTCTATACAAAGTCTACTTATGAAATCGCTAACAAAGGATAAGGCAAATCCTTTCCTCAGTTTAATTCTGGCACTGATAATAATTTAAACCTGGCTATCATTTGTTTCAAGGATACGTTTTTGGGAAAAAAAAAAAAAAATCAATAGCTTGATGTTCCTATAAAGAAACCAGAAACGACAGAATTTTTTTCCTTTTTCTTCCTTGGCTACTCTGCTACAGATGTTGAAATTATTACTCTAGGGTCAAACATCATAACAATTTATGTAAAGACAAGCTAACAAATTTAACACCATAAATTGTCTGTAAACACCTAGGCCTATCATGGTTTGGAGGTAAGAAATGTGCCGCTGAAGCCTGGTTTAGGAGTAGTTTGCAAGGCCTTTGATGATGAGATAAAGAAAAGGCTTTTCTTTTTTTCCCTCGTGGAACACACCTTTTGTGTGCTCTCCCTAACAAAGGAATCTCCCAATTTCATAGTGGAATTTGGAGGGAAAGCATGACAGCTACATGCTTCTGCAAAGCCTGCTTCCAACCACAAAAGATTAAAAGGGGGGGGGCTTGCAATACACTGGAGGAAAAAACAAGACACCAAAGCAATAAAAATAGCAATAACAAAATCCCAAAGGGTATGGAATTCCTTGAGTTTCTTTTTGGCTTGAGAATCATATGATTTCTTTGTTCTGCCCTTCCTTATCTACTGTACTCAGATAATAGTTTTATCTCAGTCTTACAGTCAAATTACTATTTTACCGTGCTCAAAGCAGAACAGTGCAAAAGGTAGCTCTTACATATGTAGAGTAACAGAATGAACCTTTTGGTATTGATTTTTTGGAAGAGGGTAGTGTCCTTTTTATAAAAAAAACAGAAATAAAAGCTTTTTCAGCTGTGAAATTCAATGATTTTGCAAAATGGACTAAGGGTAGGTGCTTTCCTTTGAACTACTGGTCTATCTGGCAAAGGAATTTCTCTGAACTCCTTGTCAAAATAGAACTGGTAATTTGCTAGAAATTATTATCTTACTTTTCCGTTGTTAAAGGTATTCGAAGGCAGATGCAATATGATCTGTTGCCATTCGTGAAAATGGTGAACTGTGCTTTTACATCAAATTTAGCCAAGGGTTGACCAAAGCATTGGGTTTGTATGGAGCCCAGCTCAAAAAGCATTATGAAACCACAGGAAGCAGTTGTAGAGCTGAAGACTCCTATGATAAACAATTCAGACTTTGGTTTGAGGAGTACAACTCTTGTAACCATTCAAATGCTGCTGTGTGGCTCTTTCAGCTTTAAGAGAAGACGATGGGGGAGGGGCAAAAGAGCATGCTAAATAAACAAAGACTCAAAATCTATGAATCCTAGGATTTGCTATGGTATGTAAGCTATGAAACACCATAGATTATTATAGCCATAGTGTATCAAGATTTCAAATGATCAGGTCTTTGTATCCTCTTCAATGGATGTAATTCTTTTTTTTTTACATGCATATTAATAAAGGCCCACCTTTGGGCGAATAAAAAAAGCTTCCTTTCAAATGAAACCAAGCCCAGGTAAAGTTGAAACTCAGCACACAGAGTACTGGCATTGTTTTCAGGCTAAAAGATGAGAGTTTCAATTTCACCATCTTGTAACACTGATAAATGTGTTACTGTGGCCAGCAAAATCTGCAGATTACATAGGTCTTTCTAAACGTGTGTAAATAAATATGCAGATAGGCGCTCCAATTTATGTGCAACCTCAGTTTGCCGTTCCAAATTAAAAACTCTTCTGTGAGACAATAATTCCAACCATTTGTATGAAAAGTGTTGAGTCCCCTCCAAAAAAACCCTACTTGTTATCTGCATCATGACGTCCCTGTAACAGAGAACAATGGCTTCATCAGTGGAAGATAATGCAAGAGACAGGACTACTGAGATTTTTTTTTTAAACTTCTCTGCACACTTTCCAGACATTAATCAATCTAATTAAAAATAAAGCACATAGGAATACTTCCTCTACTGGGTCTTCACTGGTATTAGTATCTTCTGGGTCGGATTAAACAAGAGTGTGCCTTTCCAAGAGGTAATGGTGACATTTTTAAAGATCTTCCCATTTTGTGCTATTTCCAGCGTCAGCACAACTAGCTTAACATGGAGGTTTCTCTGTCGTTTTAAAAACCTTCCAATGGCGTGCATGTCTGGGAATATAGGAACCAGGGGCACGCGGCTGGAAAACAGCCTGCTTCGTCTGGAATGGAAATACATTGTCTCACTCTGGGATGGGTTACGATTGCCCCCCTTCGTGGCCTTTGGCGGGTTTATATATGTATCTTTTTGTGTTCTGTAAGCTCTGACCACCTGCTGTATGTACAATATGTGCTTGTTACATTCCTACACCATCTCCCTTGTAGAATTTAAAGACCCGGCTATTACATCTTGTTTACTCACTATCATTCTAGTTAAAGAAAAAACCCTACGTGAACAGAACATGCCATGTTTCAATCTGGCCCCACTGGCTTTTTCTCTGAACGCAAAACGTGTGTCTTTTACACCAGGGCTTTCTCCCCACCCCAGGGGGTGTCTTCCATTCTTTTGTGGCTCAGTTTAAGGCGAAAAGGGCTCCAAACCACTAACTAACCAGAGGAGAGCCCCTTGTTCCACCTCCAGGGAGAATTTCAGATGTAATTCCTCCGAAGATAGCGTGCTCTCTTCGTACTTATTTGCCACCATTACGAGGAGGACAGAACACCACCTTGGCTTCAAGATCCTGCCTAGGTAGAGGCTCACGGTCCTTCTCAACCATCTTTGGCGAGGCCTTGCTTCCTTCCACTCGAGTAAGTTGCGGCTTGGGGCCATGGAAGAGGACTGGGTGAGAGTCTGAGATGTCGTTTGAAAAAAAAAAAAAAAAAGCAGCCCTCCCTTCGTCCCCTC